TGGCGATGAGGATTAGTTGATTGTTTGAGTTGGATTTACTTAGTTAGTTGCTGATCCAGTGCAAATCTATCATAAGGCTTCTCCCACCACTGGTACTTACAAAACCAGGGCAAAAGTATTTCAGTACCCATGTTATACAACAACACCATATGACAGCCAATAGGACGCTGCCTTTTACAATTACTGTTGGACAGAACAGCCCATTGCAATTGGGCTGACTTTTGCAAGTCCAGAACTAGTGAACAGACAAGGCATTTCCCTTACGAAAGGAGCAAGTGGCTCACTCTGAAGGAGGTAAGAAAAACATTTAAAGTGACACAAACCCCAGGAGTTAAATCTTAAAAATGCATTCAAGTACCGTCCTTAACTATTAAAAAAAATGTATCTTATTTAAAGCAGACGTCTTGCCAATTTAAAGCAGACGTATATCTAAAAGTATTATTTTAACATTTAAATAGCACTCAAGTATCATGGATTACAGTGCATTGCTCAGGTAATGTTTGCTGAAGGGAAGGTTTTCTGTTCAGACAAAACTAATTACTGGCCAGCTTGGTATGACCGTTACTCTGTAAGTCCACTGAAAACAAGTCAACTGACCAATGTCTAAGCTGTTGACTGAGGAAGCCTGAAATTGGTGGTTACAAAAGCAGGCATTTTTTTCTGTACATCCATGCACACATTACTTGTGGGATATTCAAATGCCAAAATGACTGAACATTTCTTGCTCTATGTCTACTTCAAGCAGAGGCATTTTTCCAGCCACTCTAAAATAAAAAACCACACTGGAGACCCCTTTCATGTCTGCAATGAGATGTGAGGATCTTCCCCCCATCAAATGCTGCATCTAATACACTAGTGCTGCAGGTTTGGAGCACTTCACACTAACCTCAGCATGTAAGATGGTGCAGCAATCATCTCAGTGAGAAGGTTTATGATTTTAAATTAAAAAGAAAGTCAACGACATGGAAACATTTTCATCTGACCTGATGGAAACTACAGGCGCCATAATGATTACGCTATAATAATTATTTATGCTTCTGCAGAGATTTTATCCTAATACGCGAAGGACAAAGGAAACACACTCAAAATACATTGCAGAGTAAATGTTTATTGTCAAATATATAACTGTTTTGAGCAAAAGCAAAAATGCAATACAGTTTCCAAACCTGGTGTTTTTAGGGTAGTTCCATTTTCAGGCAGTTTGTCTGACAAAACCCCTATGCCCCAGTATAATCAGTAGATTCCGTTAAGGCACCCACCTTGCTCCTCTACCGTACCTGCTCCAGCTAAATCCAGCTTTACACACCAGTTTTACAAGATTTACCAACAGGACTGTATTAAAATTACTTTATTTATTAAAGACATGATAACAGTACTGTATGTAATAGAAAAAGACAAATTTGTATTTATTTACATCATTAGCAATGTTAGCCCTAAAATATAGACCATATCGTGTTATAATTTACTATAATAAGGTCTAATTTAAAGGCTACTTGCGCTGTATAGAGGGAAGGAGAAAGTTAACTTAAGGGCCTATGTCAACGGGCTTTGATGGCTTTGTGTTGATGATATCAGTTTGAGATGCTTCTGAGATTATTCAGAATTAAACTATAATTAAAGTCTCCTATTTATGGCATATATCTAGTGCGAGCAAGCAATAGATATATGCCCCATGATTCAAAAAAATATAAGAAATGAGGCAAATACCTAATTATTTACCTGTTCCAGCGCCGCTGGCTTCCAGCTGAAGCACCCCCGCCTCCTGAACGGCTGTGAAGAAGTGTGCGGGCGCATGCGCAGTAGAGGGGAGGGAAGAAAACAGACACTGAAGCTTAATGGACGCAGCTGGGAGATCGCACGTTGGATAGACGCCTTAGGACACGAGGAGTCTGCGGTGGATCACAGACCGGCACCAGCGATGGAGGAACTGTCGGAAGTTAGTGGAAGGAAGAAGATGATCGCAGCAAGAGGCATCAAATATGGTCAGTGCTTATAGCATCCTTAAAGCAGCAATGAGGGGGGGGGGGGGGGAATGTTGCCTTTAATGTCACTTTAATTTCACCTGCAGTTGAACTCCTTCGGCCTTCATTGACCTGCTTCACATGGGTTTTGCAAGCCCATAGACACGTATGGGGATGCACAACCCATCCAACATCAACAAATGCCCATTGACACAGATCCTAACAGTTTACTTCATCTTTCAACTCTTTTTTTTTTTTGTAACCCAGAGTAGATAATTTAATCTAATCATATAAAACAGTATGGTAATCCTTCATCTGGCTTCTACAGCAGCCTTGATGTGAAGTTGTGTTCCAAGGAAAAAGAAGGGAGGAATTACAGTCAAAACAACAATTGTAGTATGCTACATTACATTTTTTTAAATCATTTTATTGATTTTTATTTAGTAACATCTCCACCACCCAGAGGGGTAGTATAATCCAATAAGATATTTGTTGGTAATATTGGCGGATCTGACATCTTACTGTGTGTGTCCAGCTTCAGGCACTGCTGTCATCATTTTAGAAAACAGAACAAAAAGTCCTGTCTGCAAGGAAAAGAATATGTCTATACCACTGCCTGTGTTGTCCATCTTGGCTCTCTTGAAGAGGTTAAGCTTGCTGAAGAGCATCTGAAGCTTCTGGGAGTGTTGAAAGCCTGGTCCCCCTTTGGGCCCTGTAGTTCCATTTGCTGACCCCTACATAACTACAGGACACAGTAGCAACATAGGTTCTGGCAGATGGTATCACAGCATGCAGCAGGGGACCAGGCAGCCAACACACCTGGAAGTGTCAGATACTGATGATTCTTTATTAAGCTTAGCTCTTCCAGAGTACAAAGATTGGCCAAGCAGGTAGTGGGACAGGTATTAGTATTTTTATTTGCTGGCAGGCCTTTTGTTTAACAGGTACCTTGTAGTAGTCCACAGGCTTACTCTCAGCCTTATTCAATAATGCGTTCTGAGGACGTCCATACCATGGTATTGGTTTCATTTCAAGAGTGCATTCTGATTGGTTGCTACAGCCCCTGAGAATTAGCACTTAAAAATAAGAAATCTTTACCAAAAAAAAGGTGTATGTCTTCCTCTGGTCACCAGGACTCATATCACAAGCTTAACACGGAATTTGACGTAATCCTGATGTGCTATCATATGAACTGAGTAAGGAATGTATAATGTTGCCCATTGGGGGGTTTGCCTCACATACTGATAGCAAAATTTGTCCCACAGGTCTGATTGCAGCCAAGCCAATGTACAAAAAGCTGTGATGGCTGATTATGGAGTACAGGCATTATAAAACGTATACAAAAGCACTACTTGATGGGTCTGCAAGGGGCAACCTACTTTGGACACTTAAATACACAAAGGACCACACCTAAAAGTTCTCGGTTACAAAACACGGTTTTAAAGCAGCCTGTACATTTAAATAAAGAAAGAGCACGCCATAAAATGTGGAGCACTCAGTGCTGTGTGCCAAACTTCCTGTCCTGTCATGAATCCGCCTGCATTCAGCAAAATGAATATATAAGTCTTGATTGGTCTTTCACATGAGAGCTAGATTTATCATTAGATTTACTAGGCTCTTGTCTGAAGGTGCACAAGTCTAGATCTAAAAGGGGCTGTGTCGTTAGTCTTTGGGCTTGTGCCAATGGGCAAATGCAACTTGCTTTTGACATCAAGTCTGAGAGGGTTCATAATTCATTGTAGGTGTATTTGACTTGCTTCAAGCTGCTTTTGCATCCCCATACACTTGTGTGGACAGAGAAGCAGTTCTGATCCAAACAAAAGCCTGTAAACACAGGCCCAAAGTATCAGAATTGTGGCCATACAAATGTTCCTATTAACAGCTTCCAAAAGCACATAGCCTATACAGCATTGGTAGTGCTACCCAGGTCCTCAACATACAGCTATATATAATGCAACAGTTAGTTGCAGAAAGTTTTACCCACGTACGCTCCAACCTGCAGCTTTACAAGGGCCCATAAACAGCATTTTGTTAACAAAAGTAGATATATTATTAATAATAATTAATTATATGCTCATCAACATTTTCCAATGATGGAAATCTCCATGTAACTGCTGTAACCGGGCTCAATCCTTTCCTTTGCTAATTATAGATGAAACCCTAAAAGGGAGATATTTTCAATTGCAGCCATGCATCTCTGTGATGTTACCTTCTCTACTATGTTCTATATGTAAATGAGTGACCTTCATGAAGATCCACATTACAATGGCAGGTGCCAATGAGGTGGATGGATATACAATGTGAACTGAATGAAAACCGCTTCTGTGCCTTAAACAAAGGCCTAAAAAGTAAAGAATTCAACTGCAAAACACACTAAACCTATTGTACATTCATATAACGGTGGTCCCATCTAGCCAACTGCTGTGCACACTCCCTAATAGAAAACACATAGTAAACAAAATTGTGATGGGTGTGATCTATAGCTGTGACGTCCAACTGGCATACCTATGCTACGTTCCTGAAAAGTGGTTTTCCTTTCCTTTTTAATTACAGTATGAATGGACAAAAAATAAGAATGTAGGACTTTTGCATTGTACTGATTACTTCTGCCATGCTTGCCACTGAAGGTGAGCATCTTTTTTAACCATCTTTATTGCTAATAAAAGAAACATCATAATCTGCAGCCTTTAGAGGAAATCAGTAAGAAAATGTTTCGGGTTGATCACCACTGCTCTAGATACTTGGGAGGCCAAATCATTTTCTATAATTCTCTGTAACAACTAATAAAAAAAAATTTAAAAATTGCACAGGGGGACTTTCAGCAGTAATATTTCTATAGCTACAGGCCCGGCGCTACCGCAAGGCAAGTTAAAGGTAGATAAACTGGGCATGTTTATTGGTGGGACTGTGTTCACTTCAATTATTGGTTGTAGGATATATATACTATATATCCCAATGAAAAGTCTTTTGCCAAACCCCAATGAACTGCTTCAGTTTAGGTTTGGATGCAAACTTTTATTTCCCTGCATTACTTTTTGCAACAATTTTGGTAAAATTATGAATGTGATGATCCATAAGTCACACATAAATCTTTGGGGACAATACACACCCCCATCAAAGTGCCATGTTTTTGTATCATAATATAAACTAACTTAAAGTTGAAGTCTGATGCAGCAGACATGACCATAAAAAATTCACATTGAAATGCACAATTTCATTTTCTTATAAAGCTATGTAACTGCACAAGTCAGACTTAAGAGTGCACACGTTAACACATGGATGGTATTCTCCTAGTGGAATAGATTAAACGGTCAGGCTGATGAAGCTGTTGTATCTCTGAATGTTCCTCTTTAAGATTTCTGAGCATGGTCCAAGGACTCGTTCGAAGCGCGGGCGGTCCAGTTTCACACACTTCAGTGGGCCCCGTGCGATTACAGTGGCTGCCCTGGGCCGGTTCAACAACAAGGCTATCTCACCTAGAAATAAAACAAACTATGAGCTGCAAGAAGAATATGGTAGAGAAATGTGATCTTGTACTATGGAAAGGGTCATAATACTGATCCAGTAAAAGATAAATCAAACACTGTGAATGTAAGTTCAGACCTTGCCTAGAACTATTCTTTTTGAGACCTAGTTGTGAATTACACATGCACTAAGTTTACATCTTTACATTTCTGGGTGATAATTATACCAATTGCTATAAAAAATAGATGAATCCAAGGCATACCTGTAAAAGAAGAAAGTACATACACACCTTTCCTGTTGTACGTGCCATCTAACTCTGCTCCGATTATGAGAAATATATTTCTGTTTCCAAAGGGAAACCAACACTTTTGGGGAATCTCAATCTCATTGGTCCCCACCAGTTTACACCACAAAAATAATATACGTCTCCAGCACATCATGTATCCATATCATATAGTCCAGTTATTTATTAAAGTGATCACATCCCAATCAGTGCAGCTGCAAAGTTTCAGGGCTCATGCAGGACCCTTTCGTCAGGCATGTGATGTTCACACCGGTTCCTCCTGCTGACCACCATGTTACTGCTGTATGCTGTAATGGGTGGAGATTAAAGGAATGAACCAGTGAGAGTTGTGGGGGACCATTGAGATTGACATTCCTAGTAGTGTTGGTTTCCCTTTGGACGGATTTCTTAACAAAAAGAGCAGAGTTCTGCGGCACGGGCTTCAGCAGGACAGATGAATATGTATAGTCTTCTTTGACACATATGGCTTAATTTAAACAATTTTGCATAATGACACTTTAAAGAAAATTTGGCACTTTGCCTATTCAGATAGCGTACATTTTATATATAAAAAAAAACACTCGTTAGCAAATTCCACATATACACATGTAGCCTGTGTGGGGGCATATAGTACGTTCTATGAGCATTGATTTAATTGTCTGCATAGGGTCAATGCACCAGTGTACATTACTATGCCTTAGTGAATCTTGCCCACAGTCTTTTGCTGCTTTGTTACATTTGTGGCACATTTACACTGCCACATACTGGCCACAACAGGTGGCACCGACAAACCTACCAGAAACTGCTAATAAAGTATCAGTTTTGGATGGACTGACTATTTATACTGTACATAGAATGGAGAGTAAGATCCTTTCAAAAGACCTGCTTTTTACCATCAGATATTTTCTTACCAAAGTAGTCTGAGGGTCCCAGTCGGCCCACTTCCACATATTCTTCATTGTCAGATCTGCGCTGCAGAACAGATGCAGTGCCCTGTAATAAACAAGAAGAATACTCATCATGACACTAATATTAAAACATTCAGGCACCATGATTGGCACTATTTAACTATATTGTTAAACCTCCAACAATTTATCACAGAATATGATGACCATTGACTAAGTCAAAGGCTTTTGACTCAAAGCTACCTCTGTTCAAAACAGCCTCTTTTGTAGGCTGAGCCTTGGACCTCATCTTCTCACACTAGATTTTATATCTTATATGGACTTTAGTTATTTCATATTTTTTATTGATTATCCTCAATATTAATTTATGTACACATTATTCACATTGATTGGTGATTTATGCTGATTGATTTGTATATCTTCAAATATTAATGAGTCACACATTATTACACATTGTTCAATATTTTTTGCACCATACTTATTGTATTTTATGAGTACGCTTGATATACGGTGGTATAAACACATGTGTGTTTTGGGTTGTTTTATTGTCTATTTGGAGATTTATGGGTTATATCCAATTGTTTCACAAGGGGAGATAGCGTGGATAGCGCGGTGTATTGGTTTAGCACAATAGGTTTTATATGGACCTATAGATATATGGACCTTATATGAACCTTTAGCAATCCAGTTTAAATGACCTGACTGAGGATGACGAGAAATGTAGTTCATTGACCATTTCTCCATAGGTTCACCACATGTTCATAGACACACCAACAGTTGACTTTCCTAAATCAACCAAACTGAAAAAGCTACATTACATCCGAACAGGAAATTATTAAAGCGGGGCCATGAACTCATATTGCCTTATGCAATAGAGGTTGTTTTTTCTTAAGTGCAGTAATCCATAACAACCAAACAGAGCTCAAGTTGGTGACATTAGATTAGACCATTACAAGATAAAATCTGATTAGTTGCTATGGGTTTACTTAACTAAAGAATAAGAACTCTTCAATGAAATGGCCATATGTGTGGAAATGTTATCTTTGCTATAAAATGTGTTAAGAAGACTGCAGTATACAGGATGTATAATATATAATGTAAGGTAAATTCTCTGTTTGCTTATGTAATAGGACCCATATTCCACTGGTATTGCCATCTCTATATTAAATAAAGACTAGGGTGTTTCATAGTAATACTATGTACACATCATGGGTCTCAAAATAATGGCATTTCTTTGGTGCCACAGTGTCATACTGGGACTGGTTTGATGAGCAAAGGATGAGTTCATGCCCAAAGGAAGTAATCAAGGTTTATTTGTGAAAAGATGCAAAGCCTTTGGTTGCTACTGGCTACAATTCCAATTTTACTCCAGCTTTCATAAATGAGATCACTTACACGTGGGTCTGAACGCAATGATTGTAGTTCAAAACAATGGGACGATGGAAGCCTAGCTGCAGGTTAAAATAATGCTGATTTTTCTATTCCAAAATAATGATATAAAGACACATAAGACCTAGAGCAATGACACCCTAATGCATGGTTCTAGAGCAATGGCACACAGGCACTTGGCATTCCAGAGCAATGGCACACTGACAATTAGTGTTCAATAACAATGGCACACTGGGGGGGGGTTTCAGGGCAATGCCACGCTGATTTGGGGTTTCATAGCAATGCCATGTTGAAATTTAAGCAAAGGCACAGACATTCTTGAGGTTCCAGAGCAGTGCCATAAAGATATTTGGGGTTCCAGAGCAAGGCCATAGTGATACTTGGGGTTCTGGAGTAATGCTCCAAGGAACCTGGGGTTCCAAAACAATGCCACAATGATACCTGGGATTTCAAAACAATAGAACACTAAAAACTGAGGTTTGGAAGCCAGGGCACATTTAAACTTGGGGTTCAGAGCAATAGCAGAATTATATTGGGGGGTTTCCTCATTGCTTGAGGAGAACAATGACATAGATATGATGATACAAAGAAACAAATTGCAACTTGAGGTTCTCCTGGTTAATCTGTCATTACAGCATACAACACAACACTACAGTCTGTCTTACTGGTAAGAGAGAAACCATTTGGAATACACAAGATAACCCCTAAGACAGCCATTTCATCCACATTTTCGGACAAGTATGGATTATTTGTCCTTATTTTCTATTCTTCCTAGTTTTCCCATCTGATATTACTGTTAGTTCAAAAACTGGGAGGCATATACTGTATGAGAGCAATGAGTGCTAAAATTTGTAATTTGTCTTGTATGTTAAAGTCGAAGGTCCTACTCCAATCTTCGCTATGACATGTCTACAATATGGATACCATGGACGATGAAAACATCTGCTCACTTTTCTCCAAAGAAAATGGAACTATTAGCATCTAGCTGCAAAGAGATGTAAAAGGCATGTGTGCAATAACAAGCTATTCCTTGCTGTGGAAGGGTTGTCATCATCCTCCAGATAACAAAAACGCCTCTAATGTGCAGCACTGCTGCCAACTGTCAAGATATGCATTGGGCAGGCCATTATAAGATGCAAGATGGGGCCAACACTTATTATTAAAGTATCAGGGATCCCCCAATCCTCTGTTACTGAAGAAAACAAAATGCTCTTTCTAAACAGATCATAAAATAATGATGTCCTAAGCAAGAACAACTACATGAAATGCTAATTAAAATAAAACTATGGGCTCCTGTCTACCATCAATCCTTATGCAAGCTTGTAACATCTATGATGATGTAGCATGAATAGAAATAACTCCTAACATATCCATGTGTTTCCTGTCCTGTACAGCTAGCTGTAATCTAACATTTTACAGAGCCCAGGATGAGCACAAAGAACCTCATCACTGTTTACTAGGAACTTGTCATGTTTAACACATGAATCTTACTGAATGGTTAGAAGATGGAGGTATGCCTGGTACTTACTACATCACCGGTAATTTGTATAAACTATGAAGCAGACAACTGCAACTAGATGAATACACGAAGCCATAAATAACACTGCTATCTAAATAAATAATACGAGGGAAGGTTTTCAATCCCATGTCAAGTGCTACAAAATATTTCCGAAGATTGCCTGGTATAAAGCTGCAATTACGTTGATTTTGCAATTAAGTTTTAGAAAACAACTTCAGTCTTTTTTGGTCTACCTGTAAACCTCTGGCAGGGGAAGACTAGAACCTGTCAGGTTTTTATTTTTGTCTGTGTTCTTGTTGCAGATTTGTAATCACTTCCTGCCTGATGCAACTATAGTTGGCAGTACAGAAAGTGGGGGTAATTCTCTCTAACAGAGCCCCCTGCAGCAGTAAAAAAACAGACAGGAGTCCCAATTCTTACCAACTCCGTCCAAAACTAGAAAACAAGCTTTAGGCTTGACATATAATCCTGTAAACAGGATATTTTAGCAGAGCAATTAAGATTAGCCTGGTAAACATAAAAAAAGGAGCCTAGAGTTCCCATGCTAGCTAAAAATAATATATATGAACTATTCATAGGCGGTATTCCATCTTTATATGACTAAAAATCTGAAAATGTTAGTTTTTAGTGCTGGACCTAAGAAGGAAAATATATACAAAAATAGAGGATTCAACAGGTTTTTTTTTCTTGCATGCGATTAAATATTATATGCATGCAGGCAGAAGACATGCAAGCAGCAAAGCCCAGAAAAAAACCTATAGAAACCAAAGTGAATTCACTTCACTGAAGTCATACTAGTTCATAATAGATTCTGACTGGTTGCTATAGGTAATTAGGTAATTTGGGCACTTGCATTGCTTTACTGAATAAGCCTGTATTGTGTAGGAGTAGACTGATAAGATATTACCTTGAGGTAGTTAGGGTGCATCAAAAAATTGCTGCATGTACGTTTTTTGCCCATTCTGGCGCATTGGCAGGCCATTTAAAATAAATGGATGCAGCAACTCAACGCAAAAAACAGCAAAGTATGAATGGGTTGTAATGCCACGTGTGTAACTATATATCCCTATATAGTTTCCTCCAAGAGCCGCACTCAATGCTTCCTCCAAATAAATCCAAATTGTATTTTAATCCATGAAACAGCATACACCTTCCAAAGCTCCGCAGAACGAAATAAACTCTCTCCTTACATGTTTCACCCATAGGGCTTAAAATATATACCGTATATCCCTATATAGTTCTCGTTCTCTCTTTCATTATAACTGTGTGTGCTATTTCATTTTATATTAGCTTGTGCCCTTTAAACTGGTTTATCAAATGATTACATCATGCTTTTTGGCTACTTTTTGTGAACATAGCAGATTAAATGTAAACATTGCTTTTGGAAATACATATATGTACAATTCTTTTATAAGTAGAAAAGAAAAGGTAAATGCGCCTATGAACAGCTTTGTAATGGATGTCACCCAAGACATTCAGTATTCAGCAATCACACAGCTAATCACTAAATAAACCTCCTTTTGTGAAGCTGGTGAATATCTGTAATCGAGCAACCTTTAGTCCGTTCTAATGTTTGTAGTGTTTCCAGCAGTACATTGTTCAATGCTGCATTTGCTGCAATTGGAATGCAGCATGTACAGTGTTCATAATGATGTATTTATCATTATAAATACTTAACTGTCAGCTCTCAAGGCACCGACTCTGAACGGTGGACAGGTCATGATGCTGTTGGATGTGTTCCCTGCTTAACTTCTATGAACCAGGAAGTAAACATGTGGACTGTTTGCCCATTATATACGCTCACTATGAAGGGGTATCTATGGTCAAAAAATACAAATAAATATTTATTTCTATATCGAATTTCCATACATTCTGTCCCATAGCTAATAACTAGAGGTGCACCGAAATGGAATTTTAAGACCGAAACTGAAAATAAAAAATTTGTCAGGCTGAAACCGAATTTTCTTTTTCTAACCTTTTTAAATATTTTATTTTTATGTGTTTATTTATCTTTTACTTTTCTTTTAGGGGCTCTAGAAAAAAAATACGAGGGATCTAAACGGACCTCTGACATTTCCCTTTTGAAATAGAAAAAATAGATTTTTCTGCAGCCCCGGTTATGAATGAACAGGAAGCCTCTATACTGAGTGGTCCTGTCCATTCATAACTTGTGGATATAG